CGGAAATAAAAGAATTCTGCTGGTTAAGGAATGGTGGTCGAGATCAGATTCACGACATAGGACACGTGTCTTCAGTGTTTTCAACTCCTCGCATTAATCAATCACACACTCATTACTTGCATGTGTCGCCGTTACTCTCGACAAGAAGTAGATACATTTTATCTACCTCGTCTTCCGTGAATCATCGTTGGCGGCTAACTAAGTCCACAAACGAGGTAGGCAGGGACTACCACCAACGTACAATGTACGAGTAGCATCATTACACATTCCAGTCTTATCCGAGCCCACGAGTAATGGTGAACACACGTCTACTTTTCCTGACTTTATGTGCCAGAATGGACGTGAGCTAGTTTTGCGGGGAGAACAAGTAGAGAGACGAGGAGGTTTGAGAAAACGAGCCAGCATGTCACTTGACAGTGGTAAGACTTCAACTACGTCGCGGCAGGATGTGTAAAGAAGGGACACTTCGTATGGACTAGCAAAATAATAAGCATGCGTCATTAGATACACAAATTCATACATGTTACTTAATTCATTTAGTGAACTAAGTAGTTGCTAAGCTTTTGCTGCCGTGAGGAAAGTCGATTTATTGGTGCAATAGTTTTAAACATTGTTTGAAGATCTTTGCCATTTAAACAGATCTCAGAATAACTGCACACGCTTCATAAAATAATTATTCCAGCACATTTAGAAAAAAATTAGAACTAAACATAGGAAACTAAAACCAAACATAGGACTTATTATAGGACTATCTTATCTAATGTTTGATGAAATAATTGAAGTCTTCTCGGTCTACCTAATGGATTTATTCAATGAGACAGCTTTCGTCGGCTTTATCATCAGTTTCGCTATATGTGGCGAAAGTCGGCAGACAATGCCTCCCGAGTATTGTAGCTGAAAAAAACTCATTCTCGAGATAGTATTGAGGAAAATTATCGTGTTGGCTCATTTGGTTTTATTTCCTTCATAAAAAATAATAAATTGATCACATTGTGTCGCTTTTAGCACTGCTTTTTGCACACTCTCTGGGAATCAGCTACAGCCATAATTATAAATTTAGATTCTTCTAGACTGTTCTGCACATATCGCTTGACTACCTCCACTGACTTGTCAACAATGCGCTTTTTAGTGCAACTCCCATGACAGATAGGAAAAATGTACTTCGCGTCCAGCTCGTACAATTGATTTTCAACTACCACAAAAGAAACAAAAACGAACTTAATAGGTTGCGTTTCGCCGAAGAAACTCCTTGGAATCCCCAGCGGTGGTTTCGGTTCCACCAATTCTTGCTGTGCAGCAGATCCTGCCTGGCGCGGGGTATTCTGGGGAGTGGCGGGCGTGGGCAAATCTATTTGTTGTAGGAGACCGGCTGCTTCAGACATAGTTTCCGTCGCTATTGAAACTAAATCGGCGTAGTGTACGTCAGGAAACTTCGACGACCATTCAAACAAAGCGTTCTGAAAAAGCGAAACAGAAACTGCAGTACATAAATTCATTAATGCTAAAATTAAAAACCAATTGACATTTATTGGATAATAATTTATACACATTGCACATTTCATCTAACATATTTTTCTCGCGTCAAATGACAAAATATATCTCCAATTAACGTAACCCACGTTAAGAAATTTACAAATTATCCACAATTTGTCAAGACGGAAGAATTAGCTTTGAACATGGTTTTTCCTTAAATTCTGGGTCTCCAATTTCGATAATATTTGTCCCTAGATATAAAAATGTATATTTTTGAATCTCCCGCATCCAGATAGTAACTGCAGATTCAGAAAAAATCAATATTGCTGAAATCATGAATGAAGTGTATTTAACCTCCACATTTACTGATAAAATAATACCAGATGTCGATAATCCTCTGATCGAAATGTCCATAATCCGTACATTTACACTGATCAACGTACCTATTGCTACTGGCATTTCTTTTGAAATGTCTTTGCTTATTTATCAGTACCACGTTTTCATTAAAAATTATATTATTGAGGATTTTCTTTTATCTAGAACACACTCAGTCCTCGTGTAACAGGAAGTCTATCGTAGCTCGCAACTATCCGCAAACATATGTAATCAAAACTCACCTGCCTGGCCTGTACAATGTCAGTGTTTGCAACCAACATTTCTCCACGGCGTTCAGGAGCTTGCCTTCGCGCGGCCTCAATAAATTTTTTCATAGGTCCTTCGCGCAACTGTATCATTTCCAAATTATTCGCAATACAGTGTATGACAGCTGCCGATCCTGCCACGTGGTTGCTCGATACCTGAATGAAAAACAAATTAGCCGGTTCGCGTTCGCCCGTTTTCTCACCACGGTGCTCCTCCAAGCGCACCTGCACGATACTTTCCTGGCCGGTCAGAACGGCGTACACGGCGTGAATCGACTTCGGACACGGTTTCCCGGACCTTTGCGTGTCTCCGATTGTGAAAATGCTGATGTTGTCGGGCACTCCCAGCGCTTTGAGGAACTCGTTCACGATGTCGGGGTTGGCCTCCGGGGGCACCCCGACAGCGTGGGCGAGGAGCGGCCCGATGGCCGCTGCGTCTTCTGACACGAGATCGTGATCCGTTTTGAATTTCTGCTCAGGGGTTGATAATGCATACCGAATGAAGAAGGTAATCAACTTCACTTGTTCTATAATGTAGGCAAAACCTACTGTATGGAACAAAGAAGTTCATCTAAAAGCGGATACATCTGATTTTAGGCGGCCATGATTAGTCAAGTTCTTATTAACTATATGCATATTGATAGAGTTATGATTTATCTTCTTTTATAAATCTTGAAAAAGCTCTATTCACAGGCGACATTACTTTACACACGTAATACAGTGACTTACTGATTTTATCGAGATTTCGTCAAGATAATTTGCACGAAACCTTTAATTTACTTGTTGAATAATTTTCAAATGAACATTAATTCGTCAAAATATCAAACTAAAATATTTTCTCCACGTCGAATTATATATCAATAAATAATACACAATTCAACTTCTGAATTGAATCCATTAAGTTGTGATATAAAGTATCTTGAATTTCACTTACGACTAACATGGACAGACCATTTAAATATCAAATCAAACATTAACACTCTTTACTCAGTTCATCTCTCCTCGCGCACGTTTGATTAAGCTCTCACTCCCCTAGATGAAAGAAATAGTGGATTTATTTATGTCGCCGACAGTACTGACAAATCGATTGTCTAGCTCGTTTCGAATCGAATCGAATGTCTAGCAAGTAAAGGAACTAAAGGTGAACGAAAATTTCTAGTTATAATTACCCAATAACGTTCGTTGCTATTTTTATACGTAACTAGGTATGGTAAAAATGAGGGAGCAATGATTCCGGAGCAAGCCGAACACGCCTTCAACACTTTGCCGTAATATGAAATTCCTTGTGTGGTGTGCAAAATAGGATATCCACCCCCAAAAATGTCGTGCATGCTCCTTCGCCTCCGCAACACCCTCGTCATCTCGACACCCCATCACAATAACAATAATCCTTTAGCACCACTAAAGGCAGGAGGGATCATCGGGGTATCAGCAGCTCTAACAGCTTATGATTTATATAAAAAAGAGCTCTTACTAATCTTCTACACTAATGAAAGACATTCAATCGACTAGCTGTTTACTTTATTAATATTAACTATAAGTTAACAAATAAAAATACTTTTTATATTCAACATCAAAGAAAAAATATTTTCACGTAACGCCTTATATTGCTTTTTGGAAGCACAGTTACCCGCCGGAAACGGAATCGTATTCCAACATGCGCAACGGAATGCTATGTCTCCGTCATTGGATCACCGTGCCCCGTGAAGACTTGCAAAGGCGGACGCAGCAGCCTCGCCACCGCCGCCACCACAACCACCGTCGCCACCGCCATCACCCACACCACCCTCAAAATCACAACCATCGCCGCCACCCACGCCACCACAACTACTGCCGCCACCACCACTATAACCACCGCCACTACCACCGTCACCACCGTTATCGCCACAGCCTCCGCCATCGCCACCGTCCACGCGACCACCACAACCACAATCACCGCCACAACCACCACCACCACCGCTATCGTTACCGTCTCTGTCACCGCCCCCGCCACCACCGCCGTAAACGACTGGGCGCCATTCCCGTCCGGCCCTTGCCGCTCTGCACACGGCTCCGCCTCGCTCGCAGGCGGCCATTTCATCACGCGAAGCGCGCCGTAACTCTGCACCGGGGCCGCCCCGCCTCGGCTCATAATTCGGAAGTAAACAAGGCGGCGGCGGCGGCGGCAGAGGAGGCGGTCGGCCAGGGGCTCCCCGGCGCCGCTCCACCGGCACACCCAAGCAGCTGCTCCATGCCGTCCGTCCCCACGCCCGACTCCCCGCCTCGCCCGCTAGCTCTCCCACGCCAGCCATTCCGCTCAGCCCAAAGGCGCTCCCCGCTCTACCACCACCCCCGCCAGCTGCTATTCCCAAGCAGAACCTCGCATCTGTCACGTTCCGCTGCACTCCCAGCCAGCGGCTCCACACAGACCAACTCCCCGCCTCATCTCCTCACTGCCGCCGTGGGCCTCAACCACCCGCTTCACTCCCGCTCAACAACAGCTCAGCAAGGAACGCCACCCCCAGCTCACTGCGCTGCCCTCAAAAGACTCCCCAACGCTAACTCCCCTTTGAAACACGTTGCCTCATAACACCCGCCTCAGCTTCCCAAGCCCGCCAGGCCAGAACTCCTCATCCAGCCCGGCTCCCCGCTTGATCAACCCGCCAGCCTCACCAGCTGCCTGTCCCGCCCAAGTTAAGTCCGGTCCTCTGTTGTCACGCCCCCTGCCCGAGCCCCACTACCTGTACACGTAACCCCCGGCCTCATCTCGCCGGCCTGCGACACAGCTCCCTTCTCCGCGACTTCCCGCCCCCCACCTCCCCTCCCCCAGCTGCGCGCTATTGATAGACGCCGCCGCCGAGCCTCAGAGGGCTCCGGCAGGGCGCTGCGGAAACAGCGGCCACCTCCTTATATAGCCGGGTGTGAAGACGCAAAAAGGGGAATACTTTCTCCACCACCATCATCATCATCATCATCATCATTATGAGTTAAGCCTATTGGCCCGTTCCGTCTTCAAGAGGATCCTTCCATTATCTTATTGTTGTGCGTCTACTCCTGCTCCCGTTTGAGTTGTAGTTGTGGAAGATTTTTGGCATCTGATCTTCCGGCAATTTCTTTAAATAATCATGCCAATTCTTTCATATTACATATATATTTACTTTGTCGGTTAGGTTAAAGATATTTAATCCATCTATGATGCCAGAGTTTCTTTTATAGTCCAGTATTCAATATCCTGCGAAAGGTCTAAGAAAATCTGAACCATCTATATTACTAATTTCCATTGGGCGCAGAAATTGAAATAAAACTTAGCAGTCTCTGGCCATTTAAAAGATGATAATACTTTTGTTAGAAACGCAAAAACCTATGGGAAATAAAAAAATTTAAATTAAAAAACATTGAAACCGTTTCGATTTTAACTCCAAAATGCAAATAATTATGTGTATTATTCCATGTATTCCTACACTGAGCGTACTAACAGAATGTTCATCCTCAGTGCGTTACAGCTCAAGACAATCGACTTCATACGATTTACAACCAGGTTCCAAGGAACAGGACGCGTTAATATTCTATTTGAGCACTTCTATTTTACGAGATATTGAAGTAACTTTGGTATTAAGTATAACTGTAATATGATATTAGAGTAATCGTGCAGACCTTTTTGTTCAAATATTTCATTTACCTCAGTGTTACATGAGAATATTTTTTTTTGTTGTTCTGGAGTGGTGGGCGTGCTACGATTTGAAAAATTATTTGGTGTAGTTTTGTTCAGCAGAATATTGTGCGTCTGCAGGCCAGTTCTTTCATGTTCTCTTCGGAGCAAAACAACGAAAATCGTGAAAATGGCAGATGAAAACGGAAATTTTTGAGGGAAAACCTCGGTCCCTTCGCGAAGGGCAGGTAGGAAAGGTAAACAACCCGTCGCGGTGCCTGTCTACCGAGTTTTCGCTTCATCGCCCAGAGCGCAGCGGTCTGCACTCCCCACCTCGCCCCGCTCCTCGCCCTACTCCTTGCCGCGCCGCTCGTGCCTTCGCATTCCTCACAGATTCCGGGTTGCGAGAGCGTCAGGGCAGCCACGACCCCTCCCCTAACGAACTGAACTTCGCCAGGTATTCCCGTGCAGGTAACTTGGACTTTTATGTTATTTATGTGTCTTACGGCATGGCTTTCCGGGGAGACGGGACAATGGCCGGCGTTACGAAGCCAGAAATCTTAACACGGTCGACCGGGAGAGGTGGATCAGGATATCAACTGATGTCACTGCAGTGTCTCCTACCGGGAGGTCTTGGGGTAGGATTTTCGACACTGCAAATATTGATGCGAAAAAATAAAATTTTTTTCATTTACAGAGACAGAAACTTGATGTTTTTGTTTAAATGAATATAAATGAATATTATTGACTATTTCAATTTATTAATGTATAAAAATCGTGTGAAATCAGACATTAATCTCTGGAGACTCCCCTTTCTATTGCACAGGACAATCGTTTTATACCTTGGAATTGCTAGGGCTAAGTGTAGAGAAAGTGAAGGTTAATGAAAATAGTATGAAATGTTTAGAAAAATGAGTTGTGAATACACATGTAACGTCACATCCTCAACCTGTGAATTCACAGAATGTACCAATGAGAATCAGAGGAGTGAGCTCCGATTTCTTGTATCCTCGTAGAAAACTGTAATCCTATGTCACTCGTTTTAACTATAGTTTTGATGGGTGAAAAGTTGCGCGAGAGGCTGTGTCCGAAAGATTCTTATCGAGTCAGCGAGAGTACATTGCGCTTAACAGCGTCCTACAAGTAGATCAATATGCTATGAAACAATGTTTCAAACTCATTGTTGGCAGGTAAAACTCGAATATTTCGGGAAAGATGAGACCAAAGTGAATTTTCATTGAATCATGTAGAATACATATAAAACAGGAGAAAACGGCTGGGGTATGTGAATGATGAATGGCATAATGCCACCGTGAAGTAGGGACTTTAAGGGCAGAGTTAGAAAAATCGCAGAAAAGGCGCCGGTCATGCCTCTAGTGGGATGTTATACTCAAAGATCAGGTACACCGACAATATAAAGGGAGCCACATCTATCTACACTAGTCGAACTCTCTTTATGTAAGTTTCGCCTTGGACAATTCGATTTAAAAAAAATAAAATCTTGATTTCCGGAATTTAAAAATTTTGAGAAGCGACTTTACACTACACAAGGTGAAGGCACAGTACGTCATTAACCATCATCAGTACATACAATAACATCAGCAAACACGATGGCAAACAAAGCGGTTATGGAAATTGTCATGAGACCTACGTCACGCAGTTTTGCCTCCCTCACCCTTACGCCAGCCGCGTACGGCCTCGCAATACTCTGCGTTGCTCACAGATATTTATCGCGTAAATGTTGGTGACGCCGCTACTCCCTCTCCGGACCATAAGTTACGTAAGCCCTTTTCAGTGCAAAAGACGCCGATAGTACATTGCACGCTTTAGGTAAATTGGCACGATTCTGAATGGAGTAGGTAAAGGGGAATGAGAGAAAATGAGTTAGTACTCAGGAACTAGACTTCGCAAGGTCCATCCTAAGGATAAACGGCGTATCTAAGAAAACTAGAACTTTTTTAAAGTAGCGTTTCAATAAATGAACGTCCATGTAAGGTACAAGGAAAGTCTTGTTTCACCACTGATTTTCGATTACCTATTTCTAAATGAAATACAGCCTTTTTCCTTAAAGTCGGTACGTCATGATTGCTAGCAGCAAGTAGGGAGAAAAGAAACAAAAACCTTGCGTTAGACTTACCCAGCGCCAAGTAGGGCAGTTTACTCATCC